CCTAGTTAATGAGTTGATTGCTCTCTGTACAGGCCTCTACTGGCTTTATTCTCTCCAAACGTTTTGCTTCATAATTGTACTCGCCTGATGAGAATTATCGAAAAGAATATTCTTCGCGCACTCGCTTACCTTGGTGGTTGCAAAATAACTATTCGACTTAGCCATGACATACGGCATGCCTGGTAAAAAGGCTGAGATCTCAGTTATCAACCGAAATTACTTTTTCCTACAGACCTCCTCCGACTATGCCGACCGCATCTAGCATAACCCTTTAATTCGTCCTTTTACCTTTTTCGTCGAACCACATATTTTGTTCAATTAACCTCGAATTTCCCTGCGACCAATCTACTCTAGCCATATTTTGTATATGAACGCCGAGATATCGTGTACGATCCACAATCTAGCGTCTTTGGACACAAAATTGGATGCAAATCCCGAATATTTAGTACAGCATTCTGGAATCGCTGCTTGATCGATCGATCATAACTCGTTGTGATATTGCACTCTTCTCCATTAGATGCTAGTATAAAAGCTAAAAAGTTTTGTTGGTTACCCTCTGATAGATTTAATGTTGTTAATGTAAAATGCTGAAAATGCACCCATTTTGGTACCTAAAGCTTATACTTTGACTTGACTTGACTCGAATTGCCCAACCAATGAACGCGACTTTCCCCAGGACATCTTAAGTCACACATCACATCCGAAATAACGGTCAACTCGTCTTATCCCTCCAGCGCCGACTTCAGCCAGAGAAACTGATGTTCGCAAGTACGGAATTTGTACGTAGGCTCGAAAAACAGACGTTGGTCCTCTCCACTTCAGATTGTTCCAAGGTAATCTGGAGACTGGTGTTTTTCATTGACTACAGCACACTCAACAAACAGACAGTTCCTGCCAGCTACGCAGTCCCTCACATCCAGGATTTCACAGCATGCCCTCCAAGTGAGACGGTTTGCACCAATATCGACCTTCTACGTGCTTATCACCAAATACTTGTCGAGGAAAATGACATCACTCCCTTCGTTTTGTTCGAGTTTTAGGAATGTCGTTCGGATGATGTAGCAATTCACAAACAACTCAACACTGCACCCACAAAGTCACCCATGGCCTAGACTGCCTGGTAGGTGCTTCGAAGATATACATGCAGCCAGTTCATCAGAAGAAGATCACCTCGCTCCTCTATCGTCATTCTTTCTAAGGTTGATTTAACACGGCGTCACCGCTAACTCGAAACATTGCGAAGTTGACAAATCAACGGTAGAAATCCCAGGCCACCACATCTTGCTTTCTGTTATCGAGGTAATTGCAGACAAAATTCATGCTATTAAAGACTTATCAGCTCTGCTTTCATTTAAGCACTCACATGGACTGCTTGTCTAGTCCACTGCTATCGATGCTTTATTCCCCGCTGCATTAGGCTTATGCTATCCATGACTGGACTTCGTATAGAAACCAATTTAACTTCGCTTTCCCTGATAGAGCACACACCGCTTATACAAAGCTCAAGAATTCTGTCTCCAACAGGGCTCTCCTCTCTTACTTCATACCGTCTGCAAATATTTATCTTAAAACTGACATTTCAAACGTTGCGGTAGGAGTCGTTCTCCAACAACGCAATCTTTGGCTTTCCCGGTAGATCAGTGGCAACAGTCGAGTTGCTGGTTCGACTCATACAAGCGTCAGATGGAATGCACACTGCTGACGAATACCGAAAAAATGAACCGGCCGTAGAGTGCTTTCCGGGCGTGTTACGGATGTCTTACTTGGTCTAGACATGACGGATATTTACATTAATGCACAATCACAAATGAACAATAACGACTCAACCTTAATACCATTTCATGGAGCAGTATATTTTTTGTTTGTTGGCCACCAGTATATTCCTCAGCTTTCGAGTCTTTGGACTGCGTGATCATCCATTCGAAACCCAGAACTAGCAACAGAATTCAGATTTTGTCAGAGGCAGTTCTCTTACCATGAAAACTATCCTGAAGGCACTATAAATATTTGTTAAAAACTTGACTGGTTCTTTTGTGGAGCTTGTCGCCTTTTCAGTTCTACAATCTATATTATTGTTGGATGAGCGGGTAAACCTGCTAAGGCTTTTTGTAACATAATTTAATTCTACCGGTAACAACCCACTTTTCACAAGGCTTCTCCGGCCTCAGTGACCACATTGGTACACGTTGTTACAGACTAAGTTGATTATATGTTATTGCATTCGGCATTTCATTTAACAATTTCTGGGTACCTAATCTGTGTGTCGTCGAGAACAAGCGAATTTGTTAACAGATTCCCACCTTTGGAATAAACTAACAGCGCCATCGAGAATGTATTAGTTGCCTACTCTCCACTCGAATTTGGTCACACATAATTCAAAAAAGCAATGCTTCGCTTCCCAATCGACTGGAATCATACGCATAAACATAACATGAATATAGGAGGTCAATTTTTACTGAGAATAGGAATGCGGTGCAGATATACTGCCAAGAATATCCACCACATCCATTTTAATGCTTGCGCTTTTATTAAAGCGCCAAAATAACAGGGCTTCATAACACAGCGGAAATCAAGCTGGTGCTACTAACCGACCAATCAGAAGGGGGTCGCCTTTCGTTTCTATTTTTTTCTTGCTACTGAGTCACTATCCAAGTACCCATACTTTATTGTCCGGATCTTAGCTTTTAGGCAGTTGCCCACATCTTTCCTCTGCGGTTAATTGCCTACAAAGTTTAGTTTGGATATTGATCTAAGCGCTTTCGATTTTTTCTATGCCGCCTGTCGGACATACAATAGCCTGGGCTACGACCCGCATAACCCCGACAACAAGCAAGTGAGACTCAAGAAATCAACTGATGCAAGACAATGCACAGCCGCCTCAGCTAACTAAACTGCTTTACAACCCAAGAAGACCAACTTTTCGTCGATCACAAATATACAGTCTAACATTTTCTTCGAGTCAAAAGCGCTGCAGAGTCGATAGGAAATCAGTGGAAACCACGGGGGACTCAAAGTGCTACTGCGTCTAATTCATTAGCAATTTTCCGAATGCGGATTAGATTTTCGATTGCAAAAATGGTATCTATTTTACTTCCAATGTTGATCCGTTGACCTAGGCGATTCCATTCGTTTCGAAACGCTTAGTGGACGGAAACCCGTGGAACATTAGATAGGATAATGCCATGAGCTGCGTCTGTTGGATGATTAATTGGCCCTCTTAATTTACGACCCACACACATAGTGGCTTCAGCCAAGCGAGTTGAGGAGAAAGCATTAGCGTTGATGACTGGTAACCTACCTGATGCTTGTATATTGTGCCCCCACGGTGTGAACACGTTCAAATGCCAAAATGTCGTCGTCGCATTCTTATAATCTGACAGAAATAACAATTCTGTGCGGTCTGATGCATTCTGCTTGTCTTGATCTCCAGGACGTTGAAAAAGAAAATGCAATTTTTTGATTGGACCGAGAGTTGACTGTTTCTGTCGCCAGCAATGTTGTAGCTCGAACCCATCAAAACGGCGAACCTGAATGTAGAGGTTCTCTGGCACTTTGTTTCCAGTTGCGCCGATCAAAACAACACTTGCGTCCACACCAAGAAATTGCCTCAACGCATCAGATAATTGGTATTGTGTCACGTCACTTTCTCCGAGTTGCTGGTAAAACACCTTCGATCCCAAGTACACGTAATTTGATCGTCTGCAACGGAACAACCAATATGGCTTTCAGAGTGTATAGAGTATAAGTGCCAAAGGAATATCTTTTAGTCTAGTCACAGATGTTACCTAAGAAATTTGGTTTAATAAAGACTTATGCGATGAATGAAATCTGAAGCGTGGTACGTAAGTAAAGACGCCTAACGCTTGTCACAACGGTAGCTGACTGGATGAGCACTTTATAGTAAACATCCCAGAGTAGAAAGCGATTTGTGTGGAGACGAGTCTTGGTCAGTTCTACCACTTGGACGGTAACTGATACTATGTTTTTATATAGGGGAGTATAAACCTTCGCTTCATGAGGAGAAATCGGGTGCTGACCCGAGATAAGTAGAATGAAATTGCAATGACAACTGCGCCACAGTTTTAAGCTACATGATCCCTTTAAGGACACTTCAGCTTTTTTCGCCGCTAGGTTCTATTCGATGGTAACACGAACGATAGGTCATCATCATCATCATCATCATCATCATCATCATCATCATCATCATCATCATCATCATCATCATCATCATCATCATCATCATCATCATCATCATCATCATCATCATCATCATCATCATCATCATCATCATCATCATCATCATCATCATCATCATCATCATCATCATCATCATCATCATCATCATCATCATCATCATCATCATCATCATCATCATCATCATCATCATCATCATCATCATCATCATCACCATCATCATCATCATCATCATCATCATCATCATCATCATCATCATCATCATCATCATCATCATCATCATCATCATCATCATCATCATCATCATCATCATCAACAGCAGCACATCAGCCATTTGAACTGATGCTTCGCTGCCATACAACCATGAGGACCTTTGAAATAAAGAATAAGAAGCGGGAGAGAAGGGGGACTTACCTGAAAACCTTAATGCCCTGAGCAAACATTCAGGGCAAGGCGCCTACACCTTGTGTAGAAACATACCGTCACAAACAGCTGGCTATCGTGCAAAGATAAGGCGGCATCGGCGAGACAGCTTCCTTGCGGCTTTCACTGCCACGCGTCATAATCAGCCATTACCCCGCAGATAACTCAGCACCAAACACACTTTAAACAGACAATCCGATTAGGAGACGGCAGCAGACGCGCCACTGGTTTCGATTGCGAGCCATGTCCTGCAAAGTCTTGAGCCAAGCACAAGGTGAGTCACGTGGACTCCAACCCGGAAGGAGAGACGGATCAACGGCACCCAGTTTGGTCGTCAGTGTCTTCATTTCCCGCTGCCAAGTCAACTTCTGTCCACCTCGAGCCTTGCGCCATCCTACACCTGGTAGACTGAACAAGGCCCTCCTGGGTAAGCGGTGACCAGGCATGCGTAGCACTGCAAGAGCCAACGCAACTTATTCAGTGCTATCTGTTGTTCTAGGGAGCTAGCATGATCATCACCACCTAGTACTCACCTACGCACATCATCGTTGCGGACACGCTGGTGCCATCCGACACCAGCAATGCTTCGCAGACAACGATGATCAAAGACTTGAAGGTGCCTCAGATCTTCAGACCGAAGGGGCCAAGTTTCACTACCATAGAGCAGAACGGCCCTCACTGTGGTCTTGTATACACGGCCTTTCAGACGGAGGGAAACTCCCTTCTGTCGCCAAAGATGACGCAGGTGCAAGAAGGCAGCTCTGGCCTTTGCAATGCGTGAGCTCACGTCAGTTTCTATGCGCCCATCGTTGCTGATGCAGCTGCCAAGATAAGTGAATTGATCAACCACCTCGAGTTCCTCGTTAGCAAGCGTCAAGGGGTCATCGAGCGGCTGGTGGTCCTGCAGCAACACTTTGCACTTTGAAGGTGCGAAGTGCATACCAAATAATGGGACCACTCTGGATAGGCTATTCAGGGTTGATTGTGCCGCCTCAACATTGTCGAAAAGCAAGACGATATCGTCCGCATAATCTAGATCAACTACCCGTTCACCAGGCAGCACTTCAACACCTATATCGTGAGATTCCGCAAGGGAACTCTCAATGATAGAATCCACAACGAAATTGAACAAAAATGGGGAAATCGGACAACCCTGTCGAACGCCACTTGTAGTCGAAAAGCTATCCGACAGGGAATCATAGACCCTGACGCGGCCTCTAGTGTTCGAGTATAGAGCACGAAGAATGTTCACATATTTCGTGGGAACACCTTTCCGCGCAAGTATTTTGAACAGAATCGATCGATCGACTGAATCGAACGCATTCTTGAAATCGAGGAACACAGCTATTGTCGGTCTGCGGTATGCGTGGCGCTGCTCCAGCACCTGCCGCAAAGTAAATATATGGTCTATACAGTCACGTCCTGGGCGAAAACCGGCCTGCTCTTCTCTAATCCGAGATTCCCGTTCTGCAGTGAGGCGACGAACGATAACCGAGACCAGTAATTTTTTCACAACTGGCGTTAGGCTAATACCCATGTGGTTCGCACAGTCTGTGCGACTGCCCTTCTTGTATATTGCCACTATAATCGATTCGCTCCAATTAGCCGGCACACTCTCTTCGTTCCAGATACATTCGAATAGGGAGGTCAGTGCTTTGCAGAGGACCTCACCTCCACTCTTAAATAGTGCAGGTGGTAGGGAATCCGGGCCAGCGGCACGAAAACGATTGAGGACTGTGATCGCGTTTCGGACCTCGGCCTCCGACGGAGGCTCTAAACTAACCGTCCATGGCTCGTCCTGCATCACCTGAATAGGAAGAGGTCCGGGGGCAGGGGACCAGCTGAACTGATGTTCAAAGTGCTCAGCCCAACGAGCCACACAGCGCTCCTTATTGTGTATCAGCGCACCCGCGCTGTCCCTGATTGTCTCACTGACGCCTGGTTTTCTCGGACCAGTGGTGCGGATTAGCTGGAAGAGCTTGCGGTAATTGCCTACTGCTCCTGCCTGCTTCATTTCTTGAGCCCGACTGGTCCACCAGGCTTCCTTGTCAGCACGTAGGCTCAGCTTTAGTTCACGCCTAATAGCCCGTCTGGTCACATTGTGTTCAGAATCAGCCGGGAGGTGCCTTCCAGCTTTTAAAAGGTTCACGGTCCTCTCGGATATCCAGTGACTGGTGCGATGACGACTGATGGTGCCACAAGCAGATGCTCCTGCGTCGTGCATAGTAGCCGTGATCCTACTCCACTGAAGTTCAGTATCATTAGGACAAGACAGCGAGAGTTCGCTATGAAGTGCTTCTTGATAGGCTTGCCTGACAGAGGGCTGGGACAATTTCTCCCTTGCCAATCGGGGGAGACGCTTTGTGCGCCTTCCGGTAAAGTTCATGGAGAAACGACAGCGCACCAAGGCATGGTCGGAGTCGACGCAGGTACTCCAGTACGAGCGGCAACCCAGAATGGAACCGCGCCACCTGTAACTTATGGCTATGTGGTCAATTTGGGTCCATCGCTGGCCAGTTACAGGTGGACGCCAAGTGGCACTTCGGCGCCCACTGTGTCTAAAAGCAGTGCTGGTAAGAAACAACTGGTGCTCCGCACACAGTTGCAGCAGACGCTCGCCGTTGGCAGTCCGTTCGGCGTTAAGTCCATACTTACCACCCAGCTGAGCTTCTGAAGAGCTCAGACGCCCTACTTGTGCGTTCAAATCCCCTGCAAGTACTATAATATCTGAACTAATAGCACTGCGTAGCAGCGTGTTCAGTTCGTGATAGAAAGTGTCCTTGACTGCATTTGAACTGCAGTCGGTGGGAGCATAAGCAGAAATCACAAACAAACAGCGTTTTGTTTTACTTCGCGAATTCACCTTAGCTGATGTCGTCAAACGGGCTGCACATAAACGGCTGTTCACCGGAATCCAATCAACCAGCGATGACTCAGCCTAGGAGCTGAGAAGGATACCTACACCAGCTTGACCCGTGAGTGCCGCATCGGCGTCTCCGGATGCGTGCAACCAATAACGAGAGGATAAGCCGGGTGCAGTCAATTCAATAACCCCGTTAGGGTCATTAATCCTAGTTTCGGACACACATCAACACCCAGTGTGTCCAAGGTGCGTGCGAGTGCAGCCTGCTGACCTGTTTGTCTTAGAGTGCGGACGTTGAATGTCGCCATGGAAACGGGACAGCGTGGCCTTATAAGGGACTTTTGCCGATAGGTGCTGTGGGATGGTAGCTGCAGATGGTACTACTCCAGTAGCACTTCGGTTGCTGTCAATTAAGCTGGGAATTATAGAAGGAAGGTTAGTAATGGGGGCCGGGATGGGAGTAAGAGAAAAAGGTGGAAAAGAAAGAAGAAAGATCATGTGCAGGAGACATTGTGTCAGGTGAGCGTTCAATTATTTGACACTGTTGCACTCGATGAATAGTACTAGAGCGTTTGACCATTAAGAATTAGGAGTGTGGATCAAATCATTGGCAGCATTGCGTTTGGGTACGGTGTGCATTCTAAAAATAAATGTACTGTTCTACGTAGGACGAAAGCACACAATAAAAGCTCTTAAAATTATTATATACTCTAGGACCCCTTCTTATGTGGCCGAATATTTGTTTTGCTAATTTCGGTAGGTAGGTACCCCCGAAGCAGCATTGTGAGGCCTTGTTTCCTACTCGGCCTTGCAAGAGTTCCGCCAAGTCTTTTCTACCTTGCCAAACTAATGTAACATGTAGGGCAACCTCCACCTGCTGGTGCTACAATGGGGCCGCCATTTTAGCCCTACCGCAATCAGTTTTATTGGTTTTTAATGACGTTTGCATTTATTGCCTGGCAATGCTGCCTTTATTGCTGACCAGGAAGTGTTGAATGAAAGTACGTAAAACTCTGTTCATTGTACTACAACTGGTTGAGGTCGCGTGATCAGCCTTGAACTCAAATCTACAAATGCCACTGTCAAGTTAACAGATTAAAGTCTGATGAGCGGGTGAACCGGTTTTATCCAAATTAAACCGCCTAAGACAACATGTAGATTCTGTCAGCCGACGTTGTCAGAACTAACGGGCAAAATGCACGGATTCTCTCTCCAAATGTCGTCATTCCCACCCAAACGATCACTTTGTATTAAAGTGATTGATTTTCACTAAAATACATCGCTTCGGTTATGATGTCAACAATGATGTTTTCCACCGCCAAAGGGCCACACAAAGGATGTTTACCGAACGGGAACTTGCAATCCCTCCATTGCTCCGTCGTTTAAACTATTTCATAAATAGTTGTCTCTCTGGAGCAGGTAGATATTGTGTACTGCCGGCTCGAAAACGCTATAATCCATGACTCATTCCGAACTTCTTTGCACTCATCTGCTACAAACAGTAAGCAGCGAACCCGGGTCTTTTGGGTTCGTAAGCACAACTTCTATTCCAAACCCACGGAGTCACGGGGATGTGCGACGAAGGTCACATTGGTTAGTGAATGACTGAAAGTATTTGTTGTATGACTGTATTGCGACGCACTGTCTCAATGTGGACCGCTATTCGTAATTTGTTCACAAAACTAGTGCTTCAGATGACCCATCGAAACATTTTGGCGCTGCCTATAGCATCTTGCGCCTACCCCTACAGTCGCAGACGTATCCGGCTGAGGGTTCAGTGAACAAAGTGTCGACCGCCTTTTCTCTGTGCGCATAGATTTTACAGGTTGTGGAATTGGAAAATGTATAGAAAGAAGCATTCCAGTAGGGCTGAGGCCAACGATTCTGTCGATCGGAATTTAGCAGAGGAACATGCTGTGATTTTGAAAGAGTTAGAAACGCATCCAAACAGCACCTGAATAAACCTTCATGTAAGAATGCGAAAACTAGTATTTTACCAAAGATAGTAAATTATATTCGAAGACCGACTGTGCTAAGATGCTCCTGTTTCCACTTTCAATTTATGATATAACCCACAGAAACTTATTACACTGATAGAAAATTATAATAGAAAAGGATTGAAACTACCCAGGGCTACTTTTTGTCTTGCTTTGTTCATTCCGCTCAACAACCTTAAATAAATTTAAGTATATTCATGTGTCTAGGACTGACACAAAAAACTTCTTGCCTTATCGGTCCACCATATGATGCCCACGGATATATGAAAACGTCACGAAAGGGTTTTGCAACGGTTGCTTTATCGATGAAGATATTGTTTTCACGCGCTAATAAGAAACTGTTCCATTACTAAGAGGTTGTTTCTAATGCTTTCGAGTCAAATACAACTGGACGTAAAGAGATTAAGCTTTACAATGATTTAATAATGACAAACAATACAGAAGAACAGGGAAATAAATAGAGATTCTTTGTACATAGTAGAATGCGTGCATCCTGTCACAAGTCTTAATTGAGAAAAGGAGTGGTTTTGTACTAGTTTGCTTCGTGAATCTAGGTAATTATATACGCGACATCCCATTCACTTGTCCAGCAATCCACTGACGTAATGGAAACACGCGTGTTAGATCCAGTCAAGTATGTCACTGTAGCTATTCATGAGTGGTAGATGCTTAGGTTGCAGGTACTATATGAGCCAACTTCTATTCTTCCTGAGAATATAACAACAACGATATAACATGTTACCCTCTGCCATTATTCACGTTTCCATTTCACCAGCATGAATGTGTGCAACACTAAGTCATTGACTGGTATGGTCACATGAATTACAACACAGATGATATTTAACGGTCGGACTCTCAGTCAGCTATGGTAGATACATAATCTGGTCGGTTGGGTCTAACTGCAAACGACATAGTATATTTGACGCGTCCGAAGATGACTAACTTCTAATATGGATGGAACATGAATAAAAGATGCTCGATATAAAAGCAGTATTCGACTATCGTAGGTACGCTGAGCCAGTCCAGCAGAGGATTTTTACAACGTAGCAAATATATACATTCAACCTTCAGCTGAAAAATCCACTAATCACTTGATACTAAATGTTTATTCATGCACTTTCTGAACTACTACGCATTAGGTAGATCTAATTACCAATTAAGGTCAATTAAATAAATAAATTACATATCCCTTGGCGGTGCTAGGCACAGTCCAAATTTGTGGTCTGATCAATCTTAATTAATTTATTACTTCCGCCTAGTGTACTATACGGGCTTGCTGCGCTGTGGCAACGTTATATGCGGCGTCACGAATCCCTTTACGGCCGAACATATATTCGTAAAGTGCAAGGCATTAAACATTTTTCATCGGTATGATTAATGTTATGTTATCCGAACATTACCGAAGATAAATCTGCTACAGACGGCTCTCCGCGACTTACTGGCCCATATAATATTAGTAAAGCCTTAATGCTAGCCGACGCGTTGAACGTCAAAAGGCTTGCTGAAACGAGGAATCAGCGTTACACTTTTTGTCTTAGATAAGGCAACAAGCTGAAGCGGTTTTGCGGGTGATCACTTACATCACATTTGACGGATGTTCAATACACACTGTTTCAGTCCAAATTTTTACTTTACCGACAGCTTGATTGCAGTTTGCGCATAATCATGGCAGCTAGGAAAAAGGTACATGGAGCTGCAACACCTGCGCAGCCTACTTAGGTCTATTTCTTCTTATCTACGCAACAGACACGAGACAGTTTGAGACACGTTTCAACGGCAGACACTCGGAACACTGCCAACCCGTGTTCAGCGCCATACAAGTTACGTAATGGGAATTCGTTCATACCATTGCTGCAATGTGGAAAGTTCACACGTGGTACAACATGAGAGGATGGACATGGATTATTCACTGTGTCATGATCCCTATGTTTTGCCCCTCTTGAAATTTGGAGCAACTGTGTCCATTGTTCCCCCTAACTGAGTTTCCTACTGGCCGCCTGATAGGGGCCCTCAGGGTGACAGATCCTACTCCCAACGTACACAACACAGATTACCAGAAAAAAAGCCAAGTTACTGTAGCACCTTAACGACACAGCTGGAATATCAGTACCCCGTATTACGTCGGTAGCTAGCCAATATATCAGTGCACAATGATCAAAGTGCCATAAAAAATCTAACGGAAGAGGAAACAGGCAATGTACCTCCAACAAATGTAGATTTGTGCATTGGTTTCAGTAACAGGGTTTCGCTTTCGTTAACTTCTTCATTTACTTTGACGAAAGATAAGTGCTACTCTCTTTTTCAATAATCACGCATGCTCAGGTTCCTAAGTAGCTAGTGGTATACTGCAAAACATGGAACCAGGTACTCACCCGTAGTGAAACATAGTCCGCTCCTCAGTCCAAGGTGCAACAGCGAATCGAAACTCTACATCACCGGGTCTGTAGCCGAAGTGAACGAATCCACTTGCATCGAAATTAAACGAACTGCTGTGGTCATGCGATATGCCAATGTGGCCGGAAAAACAATTAAGTTGTAAATATTCCGTTGCATGCAGGAAATCACTGGAAAGTTAAAAGATAGGGTGGGATCAGCGTGGGCATATATATAAAGCAAAGCGCTCCTGTTCTGGGAAATTAACAACAGTCTAAATATCAGACCGGAGTCCATGGTTAATGTTTCATGTGAGCTGGTAGGCAAAAACAACAACGACAACGACAACAACAACAACACCCGTTTGAGAAGGCAATAAGCGCCAGCAATCTGTCGGGCTAACACAGTTGATTGTGATTCATGACATGATCAATCATTTTGGGTACACACAATAAGCAACTACTGAGGACAAAATTCCTACTGTCTGATAAATCATGAGGTGCCAAGCAGAGGGAGAGCCGAATTGCAATCGGCGAGAATGGTCTCACAACAGCATGACTGCTGTGTCCTGTCTCCTCAAGACACTCAAAGCAGTAGGACCCATTAAAAGGATAAGCGGTCACATCACAAAATTCAACTTGTATACATGCACTAGATCAACTGAAAATCAAAGCAATGATCCTTTATTGACAATATTAGACTTCTGAGTTTCTCTTATAGGTTGCGCTTGAATCACTTATCAGTCGTAATGACATGTGTTTATATTTGAATTCATGACTCAGTGGGGAGTACCTTCAATACACAATGGCTAACTTTGGACTTATTACGGGTATGCCTTGGCGAATGTCTTACGTTCATATATGAGTGTATATAGTGGCCTGCTTTTGTTGGCAGATTTCCTGTACACAGAGTTTTTAAGAAGTAGCACCGCTTGCGTAACAGCCACATATTTTTCGGTTTTAAAACAAGGATGTTCATTAACCAACCAGATTGTGCAATTGCAGATTCCGGTCAATATTTCACACAGTTCCCTGTGTTTTTTGGGATAAAGCTAGCAATCGCTAAGTGAACAAGTGTAGAAAACCGAGACCTACTTTGACTTAAAACGGGCTAGTTGCGAGTGAGATATTTCAACAGTTTCTTTTTATTCCGCTATAACCACTTCTTTTGTAGAGTATGTTATCGGAGCAATCGAGAGGAACACTATGGCGAACCAAATGCTAATTTGTCGCTGGGTTTCATGACCCTGAGCAATGCTTTCATGCAGCCAGCAATCCGCGTTAATGAATGTAACACGCTGGTATTATACTTCGTACTACAATACATTCACACTGGTTTACAGCATTCAACTAAGCATAACTCCAGTTTTCGATATCTTTAGCTAATGGTCTATATTTTAGTAAAGAATGTCACCCGAACTCGAAAAATCAGCTTCCTGTGCTTGAGTTGTATTTCGAAGGGTTCCAATTTTAGTTAAATCTACAAAGTCACGCAAGTCCCCAGTTACTAAAAGTGATAAATTTTTCTGTTCCATTGTCTCAGCTATGATTGATTGACTTAGGTGATTGGTTCCAATAATCACTATGCACAGCAAATCTACAGTTTATGCTATGCTACGAAAACTAAAAGAAATCGAGTAATTCGATAAGACAGAACAGAGTCAAACTACATCACATGGACATGTGACTGTTTAGCCGTTAAAGGATTGAAGGCAACTTGTTAAATTGCGTAGTACGATTTCTTATTAGACATAACTATTACAGTAAGGACAAATAAGTTTGCAGAGCAATAAACGAACTATGTTTACCGGCCTGCGTAATTGCAAACCAACTGACGTAAATTCATATTTCTTCTTTAAAATAGCTTTTAACGTGTACGGATTTTCAGGATTCCCATTTTCTGCGAACTGAACTGTTTTGCACTCCGGAAGCAAACAGCTTGTTGCAAGCACCATCAGTACACTCAGCAGGCCACTGACGTCGTTATTATCCGTGTGGTTAAGGTCATGAATATTGGCTTCCTTGCGCACCAGTTCCCAAAATAAGTATCAACAAATTGATAGATGGGCTCTGTGAAATTACTACTTGAATCTATTTAATAAGTGCAGCCTAGCTGTTCGATACTGCAGCCATTATTGCTATCCTTACACGTGAACACTTAATCTGAATAACAAAACGTACGTGTGAACTTTATAGCGACGTGAAGCATAATCGAGCATTCGTTTCTGGCCTTTGTTTTGCGTGGCCTAATGACCCTGTTACTGTCCCGATGGATAGTCGTTTGGCTGTTTGAAGTTGTTGACCGGTGTATTCGGTACAAACGTTTCGCGACAATAAATAAAAAGTTTTACTTAACTCGTTCGGCATTTCCAAATAAAGGCTGCTGACAGAAGACATTTCCTTTCTACAACACTAGTTAGGTGGCATCGATTCGTACTCACTTGTCATGCGGATTCGTGCAAGAGCTGACAAATGATCTTATATCGACTGTTGTTCTGAAGCTAAACGACTCAGATTTAAAGAACCGTAGACAAATCAGACGGGTGATTTTGCTTCCAAGATTTGATTAATTCACAGCTGCCACATGCGGGAACAAATTTTGTCTATGGTGCATGACCATATGAGTATACTCGGGTTCGCTCGTTGTGATGGGGTCAGATGTCTCGAATACTTTGACAGAAGCAGCCGGCTGCAGGTGAAGCAATTGTTTTCTCTTAATTATAGTAAGCCCCAGTGAACTCAATGTGCGTATATGAAGTACAAAAGCTTTGGAGCCGCAAAACGATACAAAAATAATCAATAAACCTTATCCCAAGTTGAGAAAGTGCAGTGGATTTATGCTGACCTGGTCGCCTTAGCCTAACCAGCTCACGCCTAAATTGGGTACCGTACTATTCAACTAAGGCGCTGAGACCTCGAAAACAGACGATACCCACAAGACCGGGGTACAAGATGCTCGGGACTTAGACGCACACGCAGAAACCGGCCAAAACGACGCACACGCAGAAACCGGCTAATACGACGCACACGATCACGTGACCAAGCGTGCCCCAACCACCCACAAGCGAAGACAAGGCGAAGTGGACCTCTGAGTGTCCATCTATATAACCCACAGAGGCCGAAACAGTTAGCACAATGGTCAATTTTGTGGGGGAAATGTATCACCGCGTAGGGTGCGCGGTTTGTGGAAGAACATTGTTTACTTTATTAGCCTGGCTGAATCCTACTATTTTGTGGGCAAGAATTAACTATCCGTTTTGCAGCCTATGCACTGGTGTGTGGGGCTCATTTTTGCGGCGTTAGACATTAACCACTGTAGACTTAAAAGCCATAGTAATATAACATAATTGTTAGGTCAAACTCATGATGGTTTTGATGAGAAAACTAATGGGATTGGGAGAACAGAAGGTCTCGCAATACAAACGTCACTGTGGTCGACTATTCACCATATGATTTGGCGGCGTCCGTATCCAGCTTTGCCAGTCACTGTGAAGTCCATGGGGAGAGTCACAGGACGCCTGCGCCTACAAAGGGGACCATGCGTGGCTTGCGCTGCACCACCCATACTTCTACCCACAAACCCCATATCCGGTGTAAACCCGAAGGAATAAGACCGGGAGGCATGTGAATGGGAGGCATGTGAATGGGAGCCACGTTTCATCAACGGAGCCGGCCCACACTCAACAAGCAGAACGGAAGCATTCCGGCCTAATTGGGAAATCATACACACCAGACGTACACGAGGCGGTGGCTGGACCGTAGCCCGTTCCACACAGGATGGAACCACTCTTTAAGCCTAGCACCGTCTCGAGGACGGGGCACACCGTCCCCACTAGCAACGACCAACCGCCTCCTGGAGCCAGTATGGAAGAGGTAGTGGGTAATAGACAGGTAAGCACCTTGTCAACATGCACATCAGACGCATCCACACCGGGGAGGTCAAACAACATCCACTTCTGAAATGCATGATTACTCATCACACAAGCAAACGTATCACGTACGCCGCCTTATTGGCCTGGATTAGTAACATGAATGGGAACATACTCATGGTGCTTCCATTCCGCATACAATTGTGCCTACTCCGGCACCTGAGAAACCGCCCTTCTGAGCATTCCACGGAATTCGCATCGATCAAATTTTCCTTGAATTCGCCATATAAGCTTATGTAAACAACCATCTGTGTTCATCGTACTTCGGTCCCCTACAAGGCAGTCACGATACAAAAATCGAGCGCCTTAATGAATGTGATTTGGGCATCAGCCTATTTTACACCAGCGTGCTCACCGCCTGTTCTTAGTTGTAATTTTAAACTGTCACATATGCACACCAAGCATGACGTAGCCGGTTGAAGGCACACTGTACCGACGTTAGCTGGTTACATTTCACGAAAATCTTTAACATACAAGAATGGTTCAAAGAAAGGAGGAGTTTGGCTATGAAGGCCTATCGTTCACTTGCAATCATGCTCAGCTATATTTCATAATCAGTGTGCTGATGCTAGTGGTCACATACGGCTTGCGTAGGCGGCAACACATTACAACTTTTTGCACGGAGCTACATATTAGGCTGCCCACAATTTGCTTAGAAATTCACGACGGTTCCAGTCACAATCTGATTATATGGAATAAACGAAGTTTGACCTAGCATGTGGTAACGAATCCCCTATGATCTTAGGATGAGGCCGCCGTAGAGCTAGGAACCACTAGTGCGAGATGTCGATGGTCAATAAGCAGCTCAAAACTCCATGAACCACTGAACCAGCTACGCGCACACTGCTATAATTGTCTAAAAGCAACCGTTTATGTTGCTGTCATATTTGAATACTCAGGAACATTTAAGCATCCTAATGGATTGCCGTGAAAATTTGTGAAAAACCCTGAAAATGGCTTGATACCCATCGTCAGTCTACATGTCAGCCAGAGGTAGAAATACCTCAATTATTACACCGCAATAAATACAAACGAATAATACGTAAGCAAATCAAAAATAACATTATACCTTGATAATGTCATTCTTTAATTCTGAGATCATAGCAGGAGTGAAGCATAAGAATATTGGGGAGGGAAATGAATCAAACTTCACAGTGGTCGACTCCTTACCATCCTTAAAGAGTCCGTGTGATAATTTGGTCGCTTATTTGATAAGATTATGGGTCCCCGAGAGACAATTTCTATCTGTAAAACGAAGAAACG